TGAAGCAGTTTGTTGTTGGATTTGACCATCGCCAATTTGGTTAACAACTGAAGCAGTTGAAGCTGCATCAGTTTGTTGTTGGATTTGACCGTCACCAATTTGATTAACATCTCTCTTAGCATTGTCACTGGCAGAAGCAGCAGCAGTAGTAATGGCAGATTCTGTTTCTGCAACTGTAGAAGAGATAGCAACCGAAGATTCCACGGTCTTAACTTGGATACCGAACTTATGAGTGTGGTCGGTGCTTGCACCGCTTGGAGCAGATCCAGTAGGAGTCAAGGTGGTCCATGGTTCAGATGGAACATAAGCAGCGAAAGTAGAAGCAATTAAAGCTGTAGATGAAAAAATAGTCGAGTATCTCATATTAGTTGTGGATGTATTTGTTAATTAATGAATTTAAAATTCCTCAATCTGGGGGTACATCAACTCATTTAAATACTTTTCTAATTTTTTCGTCAATTGCTCAATTTAATAACAGAATGCTTGCAACGGAAACAACACATTAAGGGGCAATGATCTTGACCTTGATTTATGCTGGTATAGTCATACAATCATAATATGCACTTGATTTATGCTGGTTGTTCACAGTATTGTTAGATGGCTGGTTATGCTGGCTACAGCGAAGGCTGCGAATTTCTAAACAAACAAAAATACGTCATACAGGTTGCAAGCAATAACTAAAAATGTTAAATTACATGCATAATAATTAGCCTTCGTATTTGACGTGTGTCCATGAGCGTTGACACAAGGGGGCGTTGTTAATCCCAAAGCGGTGTAATATATACACAATCTGTGACCAATTTAGAGATAAGTCATATTCTTACATAAGCGTTTTGACATTTACTCAAAGCTAAAAATAATTATTACATAAAAATATGATATATTTTTTTAATTTTGCGACAAGCCTTGCGTAAGGGATAAGTATATTGCTTCTATAAATAAATGAATGATAATTCTTATGATTAAACTCCTATTAATAGGATAAGGTTGGTAGTGCAGTAATGGGTAGACTGATCATACAACGGCCAAAATTGCTATTGGAAGTCATGGAAGACCGAAATAGATCGAAGTACACATATAAGGTTTGGAAGGTTAGATTATAAGGTTTAGCGGGTTAGAATTGGGAACGGACGGTCCAAGCGTGGAATAGGGTGGTAAGTTACTATGCACATGGATAGAGAGGTTGGATTATTATTATGAGATATCCTGAAGTGTATGATGATATGGATGTAGGTGAAATTTGCGCACCCGGCGATACCGATAGAGCAGATTCTCTATCTTTCATGAGATTCAAAATTGTGTAGACAACGTTATCATAGAAAACATCCTAGGCATATTACCTAATCCAGCCCAAATTGTCAGGTAATATGGCCAAATAGTGTTCTGTGTGAACAAAGACTAAGTAAGAACAACACTTCGACGCACCATATATAGAGATAAGTTTATCATAATATTAGCTTACAATCGGGAAGGTTCAATATGATGTTGAATGTGCCACAGGGTATTGCTGCAAAATTCGATTATGCTTACTATTCATCGAGTTTCATAAGATGGACAAATTGTTATGAAACTACTGAATTGGCAAATTAGTTGCGTAAAAACATTTAATTGCGGCATAATTTAACAATTAGTATTGATTATACAATAGCCTTGTTAAAATCAATCATTCAAAGATTAGATGTCTAGAAATCAGGGCCAACCACATTTATGGGGCTTAGAAGGATAAATTTAGCATATGTATTTCCGAAAAAGACTTTGGTACCCGAGTTAGTTGGGCCTTGTGTTTTTATTTTACCCTCCAGGTTGATCGAATGAGTTTCGACAATCGGAAAGATCTGCGAAAAAAAAAACCAGTGCTCAAGAAGTGGGCTTAAATTATAGCGTCCTGAAATATTAATTGTACCAACTGCGTAGGGCGAAGTATGCACTGAAATCGGATTTAGATGCATATATGTTGGACTAGTGTTCAAAGATTATTGGACCGACGAACTTTCTCGAAGCGAATGAAAAATGTCCTACTATTATTCATCAACTGTCGAAAAAAGAAAGAATACAAAGTTTTTATAACTTCTTATAGGTTGTTATCATGGTCTTGGGCCAATTGATTTATCAGTTACTAAAAGTCTACGATTTGGTTTATTTACAGGAAATTTGTTAGGAATTTGAATTGTTCTCAATCGATATTTATCAGATTGCGTTTTCTAATATTCTCTAAACTCGAATTCGAAGAAATTCAATTGTCCTAAGCTGTTAGATTAACCTCGCTGTTTGACTGATATTGCTAATATATTTGGAACAAAGTTCTGATTTCAATCAATTACAATAAAAACTCTATGTCTGCCTCAAGCGTTCTGATGAGAGATTGAGATCATAAAAAATAGTATTTTAATGATAGCATATATATCGTTAATACATTGTAACGAACTGTCATAGAATATTCTCCGAATGAACAAACTCTCTGGATGAACGCTCTGAATGAAGAATATTTGGATGCAAATCTCAATGCGAAGCTTTAATGTAACTTTTAAGTCTTTTTCTTAACAAACTAATGAATCTGAAAATAGACTTGTAGCAAGTAGATTGTTGACATGAATATATACTCTATATTAAATTATAGTGATAACTTGGAATAAACATGAAGTAAAATTGTGCTACACATCCAATAATAGGTAAAAATTGCAAAATTATGTATATTTTCTAAATTACCTTTCGCTTATTATCCAAAAGTATAATAAAGTATTCTGTTGCTAACTTATTATATTAGTCTAAATAGGCCCTCATCTTTATTTCAATAATTTCAAGATTTATTTAATAGTATATCATAATATAGCAGAATTTATATCAGGTTCCAAATCATGCTAAAATAAATTTTTTAAATTGCATTCACAAGTAGAGTATGCTATTTGAAATTGACTATTCTGAAATCTTGAAAAATAGTCTTATTTACCATTAGAGCATTCTTGTTCCCTCACCTATTAGTGCCCCATATCTAATACTTGGGCTTGTAACTAGAAATCTATCTCAGTATTCCCTCGTATTTATTTAAAGGTCGTGTGACTAGTATGAGTATTCTGGGTTGAGCTTTATACCAACATAAAAGTATATTATCGAATTCTCTACACTTACTTCACTTACTTATACTTCGTTATCCATTTTGTTGGCTTATTGATTTAGTATTGTTATTGACTTCTCGCTGTAATTTGCAGCGTATTTAGTTTGATCACAAACCTATATTTGTCTATAAAATCTGAACTTCTCATTTAATAGATATAAAACTGACTAAATAGTATATGATAAATATATCAAGCAAATTTACTGTAAGCTAAGACAATGAATGAACAGTATTTAAAGAATACAAGCTTGATAATGGTAATTCAATAGTGAATTTTCAAGCATTTCGCAGATGGAGTTAGTCTATCACTAGTGCAGAAATGAGGTTTACCACATTAGACAATATTGTAGCCTAAATACCTATAAAAGAAATCAAGCCCATTTGTGACCCTAAATTGAACAATTCTGTCGTACATCTGCTTCATATACCCAATAATACGAATAGACCATGGAAACCGATGTTAATGGGGTGTTCGGATGTAAACCGATTACATAATATTTTAGTTTTGTGTAATGTTCAAATTCCTCAAATTCAACTTAACCAACCATAATCAACTAAAATAAACTTACAGTACTAGAGAATAAATCAGATAAAAAGGATATAAGATGGCCGGCCACGCAGCTAAATATATTCGTCATGCAGCAGTATCGGCACCTCACGTCGATCCACGTTTAAAGTGGGCTTCTAAATTATTAGGTGCTACTATGTGGTTCTATATTATGTACAGAGTCAAAGAAGATGGTCCAGTTATGTTCGGCCAAAAATTACCATTTGAAAACCATTAAATTATACAAGGTTCAGTCATGTCATCACGTTCATCCGTGTTCAGTTATATTTATATATAATTAGAATATTTAGTAAATAAAATTAATTATATTGATAAGGTCCAGAGTGTATGATGATGCCTAACATGAAAATCCGTGAAAGACAAAAAAGAGAAAGCAGATAATCTACTTATTAGTTACTATACAACAGTTTATCTACTGCCTTCCCCTACCTCTTATTTTTCCCCGAAAAGATCTTCCTCTGCCTCTTCCACGTCCTCTTCTTCCTCGTAATGCAAATCGCTTTCTTCTTTCAATTTCATCATCATTGTCTTCATCCATGTAGTCATTATTGTATTCGTCGTCAGATTCATTATGTTCCTCTGCATCTCCGTTTTCTTCATTTTCAAGGTTGTTTATAACAACTGCTTTTTTAATTCCTGTTTTTGGAGAATACTCAATCGCATTGAACGAATATCTCGAATCAACATCTTCTGTATCATAGTATTCTTCTGTTTCTTCGTTTTCGTCATCTCCATCCTGCAATTTGAAGTTAAAATTAAATCCCTGACTATTACAGTAGTCTAATTTAAAATTTCCATACTTATTCAATTTGAAAATCATTATATTATAGTCACTTTCTGAAGAATTAATGACGTGATCACATAAATTGAAGTGCCATAAGTTATAGTATGCTGAAAAGTAATAATCATTGATTTTTTTCAATATTTTTTTACTTGTCCCCGTGTCTTCAGGCACAGAATCATCCAATGTCAAGGGTATTATCTTATCTATAGAATCGTTTATCGAAATGGGTATTTTATCGAATAAGCTTAGACCCATTTCTATTAGTTTAGCTATGTTTGCTCTTTCATGTTCTTCTGTCTCTTGTAATAATGCACTTAAGTCAGGCTTGATGGCCAACCAATACTCCCCTAATATCATTCGTAACCGAGAGAACTTCGATCGGTAATTTTCGATATATCCAGCGCTTCCTCCCATACTGTCAACAAAACTCATTCCGTTGCCCATTACCGGGTATCTAAAATGTAAACCTTGACTAATTGTAAAATCTGCATTTGTTAAAATTGCCAAGTGTTCTAGTAATGGAGTCTTGATAACTGGAGCATGGGACATGAATATATTAATGGTCTTCTTGTTCCCATTATTCATAAAATTTATATACAATTCAGCTATTTGGAGTAAGGTTATCCATAAGTCCCCAATTTTACCCGATATTGAATTATAATGAAAATTACCGTTATCGAATAAGCTGTGTATTTTTAAATTACCACCAAGTCCATATAATCTAATATTAGGCTGGGATTCTAATGGACTCGGGATTTCATAACACTTTGTATGGTCTATCAAATGTAAATTCGGGATTTGTGATTCTCCCGATTGAAATTTATTTATTATCTGTGGATCATCTAATGGTCCAAATATGGTATAAACTGGACATGGAAGCTTAAATTGACCATTTATATATGAGTCTAGTTGTGAAATACTCTTCTTTGAATCTTTAAGCTTTTGTTTGAAGACATTAATTTCATCCGTTGGATTAGCATTCTTTGCTTGAACAGTTGATAAATCGTTCAAATCATTAACGATAGATTTATCTAACACTTCCAGGAATGCTACTATTTGCTTCAAATACAGCAAATCTTGATATATATCTATAGTTTCGTGATTCCAAAATCCAAAATTTCCCGTATGAAGTATGAAGTCAATTGGATTTTGCTTCTTAAGTTCATTATCATACAAATCTTGTAAGGCATGTATATTACCTTGTATATCAGAAACACTCAAGAACCTAAGTGAATCCCTGGTGCTATTCATTGATCTTTATCTTATGTTTGCCACCTCGATTAAATAGTTTTATAGTATAGTAAGCTCATTTAAACCATTATTAAAAATTTCAATCGCGATTTCGAATACCGTTAGAATCAGATAACAACGCATAGAGAAGCTTATAGATTGCTACACAATTTAAGAGGTATGAAATGCTTGAACCTCTGGAAAGACTTCGGAATGCTATAAAGCAGGGTAATTTACCGATAACGAAGAGGTTATTGCATAGATTTCCCGAGTTATGGTTGAATAAAGATTCTCAAAATAACGGATGGAGTAATTTACATTATGCTTCGTACCATGGCAATTACTTGATCTGCTTCCATTTAGTGTCATTTATTAATAAGAATTTGGGAGATATACAAAAGCATTATTCCAGAATAGACTTACTTTCATTCGATGAATTAAGTGTAATTCATTTACCATTGATTCACCACCACTCACAGACATTGCATTACTTATTACAGGAGTTCCCGGGAGAACTATGGTTGAATCACCCTGGCGGAGATTTGAAACAAACACCATTGCATTATAGTTGCATTTATGGATTTAAAGAGGGTATCAAGTTATTATTAGAGTTTGGGGCAGATTGGAACGCAACAGATATAAACGGTAATACTTGCTTACATTTATGCTTTCAGTATGGAAACTTCGATTGCATTCAAGATTTATTGAAATTTGTGCTAGTATGTTGTAGAGATAAAGATGAAGGCTTAGAGGTAATTGAAAAATTCGAGTCAACCAAGAATGAAAAAGGGTGGCTAGCGATTGACTACGCATACTCATTTGAATTGGTTAAGCAATATCGTTTTTTGAAGCAGGAATTATTTGCATTTAATCAAGAGTTAAGCGGATCAATGCAACTAAACTCAGAGTTCACGAGGTCGAGCTCTTCTTTCAATTTAAGCAAACAGCCATCACAGACTTCTTTACAAGAAAACAAAGTTCTCTCCAGCCCAATCATTCCTATGTCGCAGTCACAATCACAGTCACAACCGCAGACCCAACAAGATCAACGACAAAGTAATAAGAATGAGAATGAGAATTCTCAAACATCAACAACAGTATCAATCAAGACTAGAGCTCATTCACAATCCTTACCCAACGCAGACCCTGTCGCCGATATTTATTCAAACAGGAATAAATCTATAAGTACAAGGAGAAGGTCAAATACTCTATATAACTATAGACCACCAAATCCAATTAATGCCAGCTCCCCTCGAAACTCAGTTGGTGGCCCACACACTCCAATAACCACACAGGCAGTATTAAACACCACACCTTCATTGAAATCAGTTACTATATCCCCTCTGGTAAGGAGTAATGGTAATGACAATTCCTCGTCTCCTCAGTCTGCTATTTCCATGTCTTCAGGCATCAGTGCATCTCCTAGCCATTCAGCAATTCGCAGAAAAAGCATGAATAATTTGGCAGTAAACCCTATATCTAATCAAATCAACGAAGATCGTGATCAGAGGCCACCTTTTCTTTCAGGATCGATAGACACGAGAACCTTTATCGTGGATAGAAATCCTAATAAATCCGATTCGACTCCCTCACCCTCAAAGCAATTACCTGATATAATAAGATTGCCTAGAAGATCATCATCTACTATGTCAATAGGTGCAAAGCTCGCAGTTGATAATACTAGCCCAAACAGCCTAGAACGTGAAGAGTCGAGTACTCCAGCGCCAACGGCTTCAAATGACACTATACCTACGTTACGAAAGGCTAAATCGTCAACGACAGATTTAAGCTCGTCTATTTCAAGACAAAGGTCTACTATTTTACAAAGCCCTGAAGTTGAAAACGATAATTTGAAACGATCGAATATTAGTAGTATTAGCTTTAGTCGAGTAAGATAAAATATATTTCGCGTCCAATTCAAAAATTCATTTTGATCTACGATAGTAAAACGTTTTTGTAATTGTAGACACTTATTGAGAAGAATGACACAAGAGACGAAAGTCCAAAGTTCAATTAGTCAATTCTTCAAAAGTCAAAGTTCAAACCAGAAGCTGAAAAAAGATGATGTCGATAATTCAAATAATATAATTGATTTAACCAATGCTGATGAGAAAGTACCATCTCGGTTGGCAAATTTCGAACATAAACCAGATAAAATTAGCAAATCGCCCAATGAATTGGACAAGCATAAGAGGAAGAGTTCAATAGACAATGATAATGTTGATGAAGTGCCAAAACCTACTACAAAGAAGCCAAAGACTGGCCAACTGACTTCTAGAACGAAGTCAAAATCACAATCAGCGGGATCTAGTAATAAGAAATTGACTCCATTAGAAAAGCAGTTCATTGAAATGAAAAGATCAAATTTAGATAAGGTTCTTGCAATTCAGGTTGGGTATAAATTTAAGTTTTTTGGGGAGGATGCTGTAGTAGTTTCCCAGATTCTAAGCATCATGTTAATCCCAGGAAACATTAAGTTGGACGATTCTCAACACGATAGATTTGCATATTGCTCTATACCCGATAATAGATTACACATACATTTAAAGAGATTGCTAAACCAGGGATTGAAGGTAGGTGTGGTGAAACAAACAGAAACTGCTGCAATTAAATCAGTTGACAGCAATAATAAGAGTGGCTTATTTGAAAGAAAAATTACTGGGGTTTATACTAAAGCAACATATATGGGTGATGAATTGTTGACAGGAGATCCGAACATTAATCGAACGAGCGTCACAGATGATGAAATGGGTGACTATATATTTTGCATTGACGAGCTGCATTCAAAAGACATTGGGATGATTGCAATCCAACCTATAACGGGAGATATAATATATGATGCATTTAAGGATAATGTTACCAGAGATGAACTAGAAACGAGATTAATATATTTGAATCCCAGTGAAATAATCGTTATTAACGATAATTCCGAAATTTCTAAAGAAACGTTAAAAATGATTAACATTGTGAATGATAAGGTCAACATTATACATAAACCAAGAAGATCACAAACGAAATATACTAATGAGATTTATAATTTTTTTAGCACGATCGACGAAGGGAAGTATAAAGACCTTGGGGAGCAATACTTATTAAAATTTCCCAATAATATCCAATCGTGTATGATTGAACTAATTCAATACTTAGAAGAATTTAAGCTAAGTAACATATTTACAATTATTAGCAATGTCAGCTGTTTTTCAAACTCAAAAACTTGTTTGGTTTTACCCAGTAGCACAGTTCAGGCGTTGGAGATATTTCAGAACACGACGGACGCAAATTCAAATAAGGGATCACTAATTTGGTTACTAAACCATACCCGTACAAGAATGGGTAATAGATTACTAGTCAAATGGATATCTAAACCGTTAATAGATAAGGACCAAATAGAGGAACGGTTACAAGCAATAGAGGATTTGACTTTCAAATTTAATCATTTCATAGATTCCTTAAAAAATCAACTAGATAAGATTGGTAAGGCAAGTATTGATTTAGAAAAAAACTTGATTAAAGTTCACTATTCATCAACCTATCAACTTGACAAAATAAGTAGGAAAGAGGTTTACCTTCTATTGAAATGTTTTGACGATATTTTAACAATGATCAAACATTTTGAAAACCCAACAAATAACCAATTTGAATCTATCCATTCGCCATTGTTATTGAGAATATTTGATGAATTAATTAAGCTTTCCAAGGAGGATACTGTGAAGAATTTACTCGACATGATTTCAGCGGATGCCTTGGATGATTCGAATTTAAATGATCAAAAAATTAAGTTTTTTAATTTAAAATATTTTAAGGACCAACAAATTATCGATCAATTGAGTGAAATACTGAAGGTTGAGTCCTTATTGAATGATGAGCTAACTGAAATTCGAAAAATGTTGAAAAGACCTCAACTAAATTATATTACCAACTCCAAAGAGACATACTTAATTGAAGTTAGAAATGGAAAAATGGTAGATTCTTTGCCGAAGGATTGGATCAAAATAAATGGAACTAAGACAGTATCAAGGTTTAGGTCAACAGAAATCACCAGATTACACAAGCAGTTGCAATATCATAATGACATGTTAATTAGAAATTGTGATAATGCATTTAATTCATATTTATTTAAAATAGATAACAACTATGACTTTTTTAGTAAGGTTATCAGAAACCTATCAATATTTGATTGTTTATTGTCATTGAGTGCAGTGAGTTCAATTAATTCCAACTATTCCAGGCCAAAAATTGTTGAGGACAAGCAAATTATTCAAATGAAGAACAGCCGTAACCCAATAATAGAAAACTTATCTGTTAATTACTCAAATTATATTTCTAATGATATTAATATATCTTACGACGAAGATAGAGTGTTGATTATAACGGGTCCAAATATGGGAGGTAAATCTACATATGTTAAACAGGTAGCACTATTAGTCATTATGGCCCAAATTGGGAGTTATATACCTTGCGATGAAGCCACGGTAGGCATATTTGACTCTATATTCATTAGAATGGGAGCTAGGGATAACATTTTACAAAATCAGTCAACTTTTATGGTCGAAATGTTGGAATGTAGTCATATACTTAAAAACATGACTTCCAATTCATTAATAATACTCGATGAAATCGGAAGAGGTACAGGTACGAATGATGGGATAGCTATTGCATACTCTATCTTAAATTATTTGATTGAAGAACCGAAAAAACCTTTAACTCTATTCATTACTCATTTCCCATCTTTGCATGTTTTAGAGGACAAATTCAAAGGAATTGTTGCAAACTATCATATGGGATTCCATGAAGTGTCCAAATCTAACCAAGAATTTCCGGAGGTTGTGTTTTTGTATAACTTGGTTAGAGGTGTTGTTGGAAACCTGTATGGGCTTAATGTTGCTAAACTAGCTGGTATACCTGACTCAATCATCAATAGTGCTTATATCAAGTCGACAGAACTAAGAGACGCAATAGAAGCAGATTGGCCGAAGAAGTTAATCAAGATCATTAAGCTGTTAAGAGAGACTAATGATTCTGAAATCGATTTGCTAGAAATAGAACAGTTATGTAATAATATAGATTAAGCAATGCATGATAATAATGACGAGCGTATATGAAAAAGAAACTGATCCTATACGAGATTAAAAAATTCTAAACAAGACTTATTAAATTCTTCAGGATTGTCTAAATAAATATGATGACCGGCATCCTTGATGATTTGAAACGAGCTCAAAGAATTAATCTTAGACAATTGCTCAAAAATATGATATCCTCCTTTGAAGTTCATCCAATCTTTATCACCATAGAGCCACAATGTCCTTATTTGTGAATCATGTAGGTATTTCACAAACCCTCTATCACATAGCGGTAGTTTGGCCAATATTTCATGATTGATCAACTTCGTGATTGCTAGTTCTCCCGATCCTTGGAATTGATTAAAAATAGAATAAGAATAATTGTGGAGTTTGAGAATCAAATCAACATTAATTTCATTTTCATCATCATTTCCTTTCAAATTCCTGAATCGTTGAAATGACCAGTACGATAATAACTTCGAATAAAATGGTCCTAAAATCTGCAACATTTGAAATGGAGATTTATTCCATTCCCATAGTTTTTGTAATAATATGTTTTTTGGAAATCTTGGTTTACCTAGTTTTTCCCACAATTCTTTAAATTCCTCGTCATGGACGATGATTTCATCGCCTGTCTGAACAGTGACTAAATCTTTTAAAGGGTCACTGCTTTCATGAAAGTCCAGCTTACTATTTAGCAAACTGATGTAATTTGACTCAGTTCCCATGGGACTTACTATGATAAAGTCTGTTATAATTTTAGAGCTATCTTCTTGCAGATCACAGTATTGATTGTTGTACTTCATCAAATAACAGCTAGATAAATAGCCTCCCATAGAATGTCCTATCAACTTGAAATTTCTCAAGTTTCTGTGGATTCTCCACCCTTCGATTTTACTAATAAACCAATCTTCTATGTTCAAAATCTGTTCTATCTCTTCATTTCTAGTGGAGGGTTTGACCAAGAATTCAGTAGGAAATTTAGGCCGAGACGAGTTTCCAAACCCTGGTAGATCAATAACATGCAACCGTACCCCTGGTCTCGACTTAACTATATCCTCAAAATTCTTCACGAAATACCCCAATGCAGCCATATATCCATGAATCAACACAATATCAACTATGTCGTTATGAGAGTCTTCTCTCACCCTATTTTCTAAATAGAACTCATGAATCGTCACTCCTCCTCCAATATCTACGTCTAAAAATTCCCCTGTAATTTGAGCGTCTTCGGGAATCCCACTTTCACTATTGGGAGGATGAAGGTAGATATCGTCCGATAAAATAGCTTTAAATAATTCATACTCGATTAACCGATTTCTTAACTTGGCTTGTTCCAATTCTTCATTCTTACTTTCGTTTGGTGAACTGTTATTATCACTTTTCAAGTATTTAGGAAATGACCACCAATCGGTTAGGGATTTAGTTAATGATATCGAAGATGGTCTTCTTTCACTCATGCTTTTATATTAAATGAAACGTTCTCTTTAATCGATAAAAGCTTTCTTATTCGGTACGTAACGATTAACACGACCCACGGTTCACCAAACAGTCAATCTCTTGACTAATTCGGTTTTCATATGTTATCAATAAAAAATCCATATGATAAGAGGTACACAATAGACACGTGAAAATGAACGCAGACGAATTTAAGCGAGGATGTAAATAATAAGCAAAATATATTAGACTATAAAGATTTAACAAGCCCTCTCTATACATTGATAGGGTCTGTATTGTAAAGAATTAGGTGACCAAGTCTGATACAAGAAAAAAGCGAAATAATAAAGGGATTCAACGGTTCAAATGAAGTAGAAATTAATTTCGTAAATAAGAATGCTATGCATGTGCGAACAGTACAGATATAGTATAATACACTGTTCACATAGGAATCAGAAGTGGGGACAATCTAGCAAGACCTTAAGAAGTGGAAATAGTTGTGTATGCATGGGATAATATAGGATCGTTAGCCATTATGTTCAGACCAAATCACACTGATGACTGCGAATACGAGGCTACCGCAATTATTTGCTAATCTCTGTGTACGCAGGCGGAGATGTTTCGTTTCTATCATTTCTATCACTGGTGGAGCCATATGTAGGGTTGGAAATAGGCAAAGGCTCATGGTCTAGTGGTTCTCTATGGTGATGGTGGTGATGATGGTGATGGTGGTGGAGCGGATTTCTGGAACCCCTGGACGTCCTAGAATTTCTTTCGCCATACTGATTTTCAAGATCTGACTGTGTTTGGTACACATAGTACACCTTAGATTCATGACTTATAGCATATGGAGGGTATTTTGCGATAATATACCATGAATGTATTAATCCCGGGAAATATCCTAACATGCACAACAAGATGTTGATTAAGGAATCGCAAGTACAAAGACCTCTTCTAATCCAAACCGGTAACGGCGGAAAGAACACAGATACCACTATGAGGCAAATATCAGATAAACATTCACAACAACACATGTTAGTAGACTATAAAGAGTAGTATAGATACATAGAGGTCTGTTTGCACTTTTTCCTTAGGGGAATGACTGAATCATTTTACAGGTTACAATCTAGACAAATTTTACAGGTTACTGGTTCTATGAATATTTGCCATTAGATACCGCTTGCACTAGTAGTTCTTCTTTCAGTACAAACACATAGAATGCTGTCAGTGACGTTTAATATTAGTTTTAACAACACAAGCAAGAAAGTGGCATGTGGAAAATCACAATCTGTTAATCAATTGGTTCAAACAGCATTGGAAAAATTCAAAGTAACTGGACAACATGGAGAATTGTTCCATAATGGTAAAAGGGTAGACAGTTCATTGCCTATAAGGCTAACCAACTTGGTTAACAACTCGAAGTTAGTGCTTGTTGTTAGTGACGAATCGAAAGAGAAGATAGTGAATATTAAGTTGGCTATCAATGCTAAAAACGAAATCAAATCATACATTTTGAAAACGAGTAATACGAGGTCGTTGAGGGAGATACTTGAGGAGTTTGAAAAGAATAATGGTTGCGACATAACGGGCGGGGAAGAATTTGAATTGACTGTATTAAACAGCAAGATTGGTGGTAATAGCGAGGAGATGAATTCCAGCTTGAAGTCGATCATAGGAAGCGATGTTTCGAGTTTGGTGATGAGGTTGGCGTATTTACAGGCGAACAGCAATGCAGAAGAACAACAGAAAATAAATGAAATACAGATGCAAAGAATGAGGGAATACCAGAGACAAGAGAGAGAAAAAAAGGAAATAGAACAAAGGTCCCGGGAAGAGGCTGCAAGACAGACATCGCAGCAGCAGCAACACCACGAACACCACGAACACCACGAAGTGCAAAGTACAGACAATGTTGAAAATCATAAAGCATCAGAAGCCTCGAACAACTCATTCAAAAGACAATTGGATCGTTCAGAAGCTGCACAAACCAGCACAAGTGAAACAGCTACTACAGATGATACGACCACACCAGAAGGTTCAGACCAGGCATCTCCAGCACCGGTTGAGCAAAAAGACACTTTATACATCCCATCGCAGTTCTCCACATACGAAAACCCCGATGATGACTATGAAATGACGGTAGACCAGGCCCAGAAGTACCATAAAATGATCATAAACTCATCTAAGAAACCTGCAGCACCTAAACCCAAATCAAAGCCATCGAAGTACTCTATTCGGATCAAATTTCCCGATAGACTCATGCTACAGCTCGAAATGAGCGACCCAACGGCAAAATTGGGCCACCTCCTCAAGAAAATCGACGAGTACTTGGTACCTGAATTCCAGAATAACTACAACCTTAAGATCGGGTACCCTCCTTTCTCCAAAATTCCTATATCACTCACCCACAACAACACTTCCCTCGAAGACTCCCCCTTCTTCCAAGACGAAAAGATCGTCTTAATCTGGGAATCCCTCACTACCCATGCAAAGGGCCCCTACATCGTTGAAAACGACTTTGCACGCGAGAATATAAAACGCATCAACGAACTTCCAGAGATAAAATTAGAGACCAATAGAAGTAACCTACCTGCAGACCCATCACCTCGTTCTGCCGTTCCTTCGGTGCCCTCCTCTGGCATTTCCCAGAATGCCGAGAAATCAAGCGTCAATACTTCGAAGAAAGTTCCAAAATGGTTCAAACCTACCAAATAGCGTAGTTTGCCCGATTTCCTTATCGCTCCTCGGCCCTGAACCGGCGTGCAATTTTTAACAGTCCCATACCTACATCTACTCACATAAAATCGGCCAATTTTTAATATTTGACATCAATCGCTTATAATTATGATATATAGATGTCAATACTTAGTCTCCATGTATTCAGCACTCTGTAGAATCATATCCTATTGTTATCCTTATCAGTATAAAGAGGAGACCGTTCCAGATTGTCGTATGAGTCATTGTATTAGTAAAAGAGCGGACTCTTGATTACCCTTGTTAACTATGGGGGGAACGGCTTCGTAAATTTCAAGTCGGTAAAATTCAGACCGGACATAAATAAAAATTTTCATTAGTGAAAAATTATAAAAAGTCCCCAATTCCCCGACCGAGCTTTTTGAACAAAACTCCTTTTTCTCTTAATTATTCACAACAACAACAAGATTACATCTCAAAGTTTATTTTTTTACATTTTTTGCCTTATTATTTAGAAATTAATTATAAATCAAAAATGTGTGCTTAAATTTAATTAAATTTAATTTAAAAATTAGAAAGTTATTAAAAGTTTAAAAATAAAACTATTAATTACATCAGTTACTAAAGTTGTTGTTTACCCCTTATTTAAAATGTTATCGTGAAAGAAATAGTTAATCCGTCCAAAATGACGTTCCCATATTGTTACCCATATTAATTTTATTATATATTGTTATTGTTTGAAGAAAAAATAAATTATCAAATGTCTGCTACTACCAATACTACCAACCGTGCATTAGGCACCAACCCTTTGATTTTACGCGGCGACTCGATGTTTGAGTCGTCTGATTTGTTTGGCCATCCACAGGGCCCCGACTCAGTCTTGGGGAATGAGATCATTCCTATGAAGCACGAGTCTATGGAAGAGTTATCGTCACACTTACCTCTCGATGACCAGTTGAACAACGACTTGCAAAAGACGTCGCCATTCAACATCCACTCGTCTGTATTAGATTCGGTGTTCTCGAGCACCATGGATGAAAACGACCAGTTGCATGACCATACTCCTATGTTTGATGAATTAGATTTCATCATGGATGAGGGTAAGGCCAGTCTGAAGGACGACTGGGTGTCGCTTTTCGGCGGAAACGACGAAAGTGGCAAGCGTGAAGAGCCAGAAGTTTCGATGAACGCTCCAACAAAGAGATCTTACAGTGAAGTTGACAAATTCGAAACGATTGAGGAATCAGTCGAACCTGAATTTGAGTCAGTTCCACCTAAGCAATTGTTTACGCCAACCCATTCCAACTTGTCTACTCCAATCATCGATACTCAATCGAAGGTTAACAAAAACAAGAAGGCCAAGGTTGACCACTTAGGATGCGTGAGCTATTCTAAGAAACAAAGATCTCAGCTGTTAGCTCCTGTCGCAACTGAAGCTGCTGATCCAATGACTATGAAGCGTGCTAGAAACACTGAAGCAGCCAGAAGATCGAGAGCTCGTAAGCTAGAAAGAATGAACCAATTAGAAGGTAAGGTTGAAGAGTTAATCAACGAAAAGACTGAATTAGCAAATGAAGTCTTGAGATTAAAGGAGATCTTAGCTGCTAATGGCATTAGTCATTAGAGGTTGTGTTCATTGTTTGTTTTTATTGTTTGTTTTCCATATTCTACTAGTGTTTTAATTCAGTTCTTAAATTGTTCTAAATAAATATATTAAAGTAATAATTATTGTAGATTTACACCGGACTTTATTGATTTCTTGGAAACTACCCTTAGACCTGTATATCTAATGACTACAAATCCAGAATATACCTGCTTGTAATATATTATTATATAGTTTGTCTGTTTCAGTATGACAAAAAGTAGTCCATTTCATCATGATTATGGTTATGATCAGCCAGTATCGCTTGACTTACGTGTGTTACGATCTCGGTGCTTTGGCTAGTAACGATATTGTTCTGAATCGAATAATTGAACTGGGTGCTTTGAATCGAGTATCTTTTACCAATCCTATTTCTTAGCATATGTCACCAATGCATCGCTACCAAATTGCTCTAATTTTTCCTTGGTCAAATCCTCTAAACAGCTCGTGGCTGATGCTTCGTTTTCAAATTCAATGAACGACAAGTTCCTTGCCTTCACCAACCGACTATGAATAAACCCGCCATATGCCTCAAAGAATTCCAAAAGATCTCCATTGGTGGTTTCGGGCTTCAAGCTTTGGATCAAAAGGATCTTATTGGGTGGAATAGCTTTCCACGTCTGCACTTTCTTGACTCCTGGCTTCTTGACTCCCTTGGCAGCAGCCTGCTCATTAGTCTTTAATTTCAACTGCTTCCGTATCTCTATCGCCTCCTCATCTTTCAATATATCGCGATAATAATTATCTGAGTTCCCTTTGGCGTATTCTACATGTATGGGCCTACCGAACATCTCATGCTCCTGTAGCCCGTCAATCGCAGCCCGACTCGCAGCCTTGTTCTCAAACGTAACAAATGCCTGTCCCTTCATCTTGAGGTTTTTATGTGCTGTAATTTGTATAATCTTGCCGTACTTCTGAAACACGTTTTCCAATTCTCCTTTGATCTTATTCAATGACACTTTGTCATTCAAATTATTCACATACACCGTCTCCAAGCCTTCCAGCGAATCTCCATCTCCATCTCTATCTCTCTCTCCATCATTCACTCTATCATTATCTTCCTGTGTTCCCATTGACGTCTCAGTGTTATCCCCAACAATATCACCGTTACCGCCACTCTTTTCCTCAACTTTTTCGTCCATTTCCTGCTATCTTACTAAAGAAGATTCGTACCATCCTAAGCAATTTTTCAGCTTCTCAGTCTCATATCAACATCACCGCCTAACATTTGCAAATTTAACCACACAATATTAGGTAAACACACGAAAACTACTTCCACCAGGTGTATGGGTTTACAAGCTACAAATGTATGGATGTATCCCCTGCTTCCTTCACTACTATCTCCGAGATAACATGCGGATAACGCGCGGCCCATCAAAGACTAGAACGAGCCAATTACGTAAGAATATGACAGATTCATTTCTAAGCCGAAGCCGCGAAAGTGACAAATTTGTCCCCAGGTACAAATCGTCGCGTCGTCTAGACCAATCATAATCTGCCTAAACGTAAGCAGAACGGATTAGATGGGGTGCACGTGACTTATGTCCTTTTTTTGATTTAGTTATAAACGTCAGGGAAGAAAAAAATATCACTTAGTGGTAACTGATAATTTATAATAAACTCTTCTAAAAGGTTAAATTAGTGCTATATTTAGGATACTATGTCATTGGTTACGTTGAAAAACCAGGTAGGGAGGTTATTGAAGAAGTCAAAGTCGGATGAAGAGTTGGAAAGGATCGATGCTTCGTTATCTAATAATAACAGACCGTACGGGTCAACAGAGGATGGAAATGACAGAACGCAGGAAATAATAGTGGAGGAGGCCATGGCCAACGCTGCGAAGCTGAACGGGTCGGTGAGCAGTGAAGAAGACGAGAAAATCGGGTTTTTTGATAAATTTGACCCTAGAGTGATGTCGGACATAATTATTGGTTTATCGGACGGATTGACGGTTCCGTTCGCATTGACGGCAGGGTTGTCGTCTTTGGGGGACTCGAAGTTGGTTATCACAGGTGGAATGGCCGAATTGGTTTCGGGAGCGATTTCGATGGGATTAGGGGGATTTTTGGCCGCCAAATCGGAGTTGGAATACTATAAATCGCAGGTGAAGAAGGAAAAATTGGAATTTTTTAAGAAACCCGAGTTAATCAACCAAGAAGCGGCCGAAATCATGTTTGATTTGGGGGCCTCTGAACAAACCATTGGTTCATTTTTGAAGGATTTGGATGCACAACCAAAAAACCTCATTGACTTTGTTATTCGTTTTGGAAAGGGTCTTGAAGAGCCTGCAGAAGGCAGAGAATTCACATCGGCATTGACCATTGGACTGGCTTACTTTTTGGGTGGTTTCGTTCCATTATTACCATATTTCTTCTGTTCGGTAGTCAAAACTGGCTTAATTACCTCGGTCCTTGTTATGTTGATTACCTTATTCATTTTCGGCTACGTCAAGACCTCCATCTCTTTAGGAGAAGATTGCGGAAGGGCTAAGAAATTCATTGAAGGTGTTCAAATGGTGGCTATTGGTTCGATCGCTGCTGGGGCTGCATGGACATTAGTGTACTTTATTGATAATTGATTGTGTTTCTTCCATGCTTCGCCCACACCATTTGCATTACTTCTTTTACGCTATAGAACTCTCTTTATATCTCTTATTCCATTAATGTATATTAGCTATTGTAGTTACTATTAGTGTAGGATTTACTATAACCTGTAAAATTGAGCATTTTACAGGTTGGACTTTTTGGGGGCCTTCTATTAGTGGCGTTATGGAAAACTCGTTAACTATACTAACTATATCCTCCAGCAGTCAATCAAATATGTCCCATAGATTCGCTGAAATTATATCAAAAGTTGCTATCCCATTAGGTATAACGGTTACCTTGGGGCAATCGGCCCTTTATGATGTCGAAGGTGGTAAGAGAGCCGTTATTTTCGATAGATTGAATGGTGTTCAACAACAAGTCATTGGAGAAGGAACCCACTTTTTGATCCCATGGTTACAGAAAGCTATTATCTATGATGTCAAGACAAAACCTAAGACTATTGCGACTACTACTGGATCGAAGGATTTACAAAATGTTTCGTTAACGTTGAGAGTGCTTCATAGACCAGAAGTATTGAAATTGCCAGTCATTTACCAATCGTTAGGTTTAGATTACGATGAAAGGGTTTTACCAGCCATTGGTAATGAAGTTTTGAAGTCGATTGTTGCACAGTTCGATGCTGCAGAATTGATCACCCAGAGAGAAGTGGTTTCAGCCAGAATTAGACAAGAGTTATCACGTAGAGCTAACGAGTTTAATATCCAATTGGAAGATGTATCCATTACACATATGACTTTTGGTAGGGAATTTACTAAGGCTGTCGAGCAAAAGCAAATTGCTCAACAAGATGCAGAAAGAGCCAAATACTTGGTTGAAAAGGCCGAACAAGAAAAGAAGGCTAACATTATTAGGGCTGAAGGTGAAGCCGAAAGTGCTGAAACTGTGTCCAAGGCATTGGCCAAGGCTGGTGACGGTTTGTTGATGATCAGAAGATTAGAAGCCTCTAAAGATATCGCTGCCACATTAGCCAACTCTTCGAACGTTTCTTACTTGCCAAGCGGTGGTAAGGGTGGTGACAATGATTCTAAAAATTCTTTATTATTGAATGTTGGTCGTTAAACCTAAATATTGTAAATAACTTTATACATGCTCTATGAAATCAAATATCTAAGATTACTAATTCATCATCGATACCTGGTGTAGTGACACCATTTTTAATTAATGATTCAATATCATCAATCTCTTTAACACAACCGCTAGTCAAATTTAAGATATCATTTTTCGACTTTCCAACAACAACATCATCTTCCACCCTAATTCCAATACCTTGATACCATTTAGGGTATTTATCATTCATTGGAATATATAAACCTGGTTCAATTGTGAGTACGTTGCCTTCTTTAATTTTCTGGAACCTTGAGACCGATGGAATATCATGAAGATCTAACCCTAAGTGATGGCCAATGTAATGTGGGAATAAATCTTTTGAAACATCATACTTTGAAACGTTTGTAAAGCCAGGTAACCTTTTAATTTCCTTGGTTAAATTTTCAACAGAAAATTCATGGATATTATTTATTGAAATATCATTATTCTCATAGCACAAATCAATACATTGTTTGTTAACCTTCAAAACAATTTCATAGATATCCCTTTGTGGGTCACTGAATCCACCAGGTGAATTTGGCCATGCTCTTGAAATATCAGAGCAATACCCCCCTAATTTTCCTCCAGCATCAATAAAAACCAATTCATCTTTATATAACAAGTCATCATTTCTTGTATAATGAATAGTCAATGCATTTGGGCCACTGGCAACGACTGGAATGTAAGCCTGTTTATCACAGCCACCCTTAACAAACTGATAATCTAAGTACTTCGCTAAAGTTTTTTCCGAAGCGATAGGTGATTCAGAACCTACCTTTCCCATGGCTTTATTGATTGCCCTACTAGATATTTGTGCAGCTGAATGCATTACTTCGATTTCACTGAATGATTTGATAGATCTTTGTTGTGCAATTAGGCTATTTAATGACTTAACCTGCTTATTTGTACTTTTGATAAGCTCCTGAATACTTGAAGAATTCTTGTTCAAGACATTCAAATTAAAGAATGATGAAAATTTACTTGATGATCCCGATACTCCACTTGACTTGTCATCCCAATAGACAATATCATTTCTGGATAATAATATTTCAAGGTATTTTTTAACATTATTGATATCATCAACATAGTCTGCATTAAAGTAATCGTAAGCTCCTTGCAACCCCAGTCTTTCACCTTCCCATAATTCTACCTGTGGATTCTTGGGCGGTACTAGCATATGCAAGATAACATCTTCATCATTACCCCTATCATGTTGCTTTTCAATAATGGCTACTGAATTTGGCTCAAGCCATCCTGTCATATAGTACAAGTTATTGTCTTGTTGGAAATCATAGAAAACACTTCCGGAACTAAATTGTACTTCATTTCCAACTAGAATCGCCAAAGATTTGACAGGCAATTGCTTTGCTATCTCAAGCCTACGATCATAATACTCAAGAGCACTTATACCTGGAGTTATATTACCGGGGATTGGCAAATAATGAGGTCTAGTTTCGTGAGTAGGTTGTCCGGTATTATAAGGAACAGCTAGGTTTGATCTATTAGGTAAATTTAAATTTCTGACACATTTGACAAAATGCTGCAGTCTAATAGTATTAACTCTTTTTATTAAGGAATACATAGTGCCATTTAAACATGCATAAATAACAAAATACTGATAAGACTCTGTTTTTTTCAAATTTTGTGTGAAAAATTTGTACTTTTCTTAACCTCGATATACAATAAACAGTGATGAAAGATTGCAAAATTCAAATATTTAAAGAGAGAAGCAAATGGCACACATTACGTTCGATGAATCTAAGGGATTTTGTTATACGAATTCACTAGATGATGAAATACCGAAGTCAAAGAACAAGGAAATAAAAGTCACAAATGGGTTTGATCTACTACCTTGGGATAAGCACATAGAAGAAGATGATGAAGTGGAAGATGAAAATGAACATCATAACGAGGAAGAATCCCCTAAAAAGACTAAGAAACTTACGAAGCAGGAAAAAAGAGAGCAAAGACAACAGAAAAAGGTCAATGCATCTAGGAATCGAATGTTGAAAAGACAGCAGGAATTATCAGCTACTGTCATAGATGATACAAGAAACGTCGAGGATAACCCCTTTGCAATTCAACAAGAGATAAAAAAGCTTCATTCCAAGATTATTAAAACAACTGGATCGACAGTGAAGAAGGACTTCAAAATTTTCCAGTATCAATCCATTGCATTATATAAATCAGACCTAGATCATATTTTACCGGAAGAATGGATAAATGATAATAATATTTCGTTTGTATATGAGCTAATTACTCAAATGTTTTTGATTAAAGCTGAGAATAAGTTTAGTTACCAAATCCAATTACTTTATCCATCTTTAGTACAGCTATTTCTTCATATTCCTATTGGAAACGATTTTGAAAATATACTACCTATAAAAGAATTACAAAAGCTGAAATTTATATTCATACCGGTTAATTATATTGATGATTATCAGCAAATAGATTTGGAAGTAGCAAATAATGGAGATCATTGGGTCCTTTGTCTATTAAATCTTATTAATAATAAATTATATGTATACAATTCGATGCACGATCTTGACGACGAAAATAATGAACTATTAAAGGAATTGACCAAGCGTTTGAAACTATGCAAATCAATCATTAGAAATAATTCGTCTATTGAAATAATTCAAATGAAATGCGATCAGCAATCAAACTTTAATGACTGCGGCGTATATCTTCTGATGATAACTTGTTGCTTAATCGAAAGGTTGTTGTTCAACAAAGCTGTTAATTTAGATATCAGCAATATGAAGTTTAATGCATTGCGTGGAAGATTGAACATGCTAGAATTGATCTATAAATTGTCAAGACAGCTTATTGCTACACAACACTTATGAATTGAGAGCTTGTTCAATTAGACATCCTTTTATTAAGTTAGCAATACTCTCCCCTGTTAAGCGATTTTCTAAATTAGTTATTTGCTCATTCAAATTATTGTCTTTAATTCCCGAATTATAGAACAACTCGTTATCATAATCATAACCAATACCTAATTCACCTAAATTTAATACGGATATAAATAATAGTAAATCATTTGTCGCATAATCGTTTGGATAACCCAATAATGTCATTAAATTAGACTTTGGAATCCTCTTAGTTATGGAAATAATCAACAAGAAGTTTTTAAAATCGACCACATTATTTATAAATTGTATGAAACTCAAGGCATTACGGGGAAACGTGTATCCTAAAATACCAACTAATTTGTTTATTAAAACATCATCACCAAATTTTGCTTTAAACCCTTTAAAATTGGATTCTGACAAATTTAAAAATATTTCATGAACTGTAAATTCAAACGTATCATTGTCATTAAACAATTCGAACAAAGTTTCAGTGTCAAAGCACTCACCATTAATGAACTCATAGTTTAATAAAGATAAGTTTTTAAATGGCTTTGTGATTGCTATGGATATTTTGAACATGATCAAGATTTCTGTTTTCAAACTAACTTCATCAAAATTTAAGATATCTAATGGTTTTAATGCTGAGTCGTTATTAATTAATGTATCAAACTCAATCAAAAACTCATCAAATTTTCCTTGGTTGAAATAGACAGTTAACTGTAACCAATTCAAAAGCCAATAGTATTGTATTTCTTTATTAGAATTGTTGATGTTTATAAGCATTTCATTCTTACTATAGTAAAGAGTTACCTTCTTGAAATAATTGTTTATAGTTTTAAAAGCATTTAAACTAGAAGTATTAGCACTAGAGCTTGATTCGTTGTTCAGTGGAAACCATATTAGATTGTATAAGGTAGTTGTGTATTGGATGAAATTAAATTCAATATATTTATTTTGAATGAATTGATTTAAATCATTTGGTTGCGATCGAAACTGAATAATTGAATGAAATTGATTTAATGTCGTTATTATTTGTTGGTAATTTCCTTGAATTGTATGAATTTTAGCTAGGCTTCCAATTTGTTCCATTATTTGTTCCTTATCAGTATCTTGCAAGCAATCATGTAGCTCATCAGTATATTTATTCATTAGTGTTCTATTTGTCTTATTCACTGAAGCAGCCCATTCTGAAGTGAATTCTGTATTTTCATCACTTAAATAACTAATCATTGATTTATAACTTGGATGAAGTGATTGGTACTTATTCATTATTTTTAAGGCTCTTCTAGCAGCATCTTTTGCTAGCTGTCTCAACGAATTATTATTGCTTGAATTAAGACTTTCGAACGTATAAGCTAGCTTATTAACATTCAAGTAGTCAACATCTATATCTATATCTGTCATGGTATGGCAAGGTTGACAATAATCTTTAAGTGTTGAATTTCGTGGATCAAATATGCGTATGAGAGATAGTCCAATTTTGCACTACTTACATAAAACTGGGTATACGCTAAAATGTTGAAGATATACGACATACAAACTACATGGTAAGCTTGCAAAATATCTTACATATGTGAAATTAAATAAATAGTAGAATATCGTAACGAATTGAACGATTTAGGCTCTTTTTCAATTGATAAGGTTGGAAATGTTCTGATGAACTCCAAGACATCTTGTTGTACATTTAGACGCAATTTTGATGTTCATTGGATACCAAAACAGTACAGAGAATACTATGTATATGCTCTTTTGAAATGCTAATAAGTAATGTATTATACCCGCAAAATAACATCATTTGGTTTCTGATCACAAGCATCTCAACCTTTTGTCTCAATTAATACCATCCCAAAACTTCACCTCCACCGTGGGAGAAAACGGTGGACTCTATAACAAAACCAGGCTTGTCAGGTACAGGCTACATACATTGAATAAGATTTCCGCAATTCCCCAGCACAAAGGAATCCATGTACTCATATTTAAAGAACCAGCCTTATATATAGCCGAAAGTAACAACCCAACAATAGCACCACAAATGAACCCCTGCGCTAATCCCATTAATACATACATCAGAATTAGTAATATACTGCCCAATATGGTTCCTTTCAGTATGGGATTTGCGATTTTATGGCGATAATTGTTGGAGATTTGGTTAAACACAGCTAAGCACCCCGCAGTCAGATAGAAGCCTCCGAATAATAGAAGGGACCAAAATACAGTAAACTTCCATATATCAAATGAATAATACAAATACAGTGATTGAAAACTCGATGAAGTGATTCCTAAAGGCCAATAAAGTGATGGAAATGGTGGTACTGTGTACCCTATGGGTACATTCTGAGAGCTAACAAAGATCTTCATCCATAAACTTTAATAATGTCCCTATTCTCTAGCATAAAATACCCCATATGGTGTTACTTGATTCACTATTAGTTTCCTATAGTACCTGTTTATATCTACAAAAATATTATATGCAGTACCACCAAAATTGAGAAATTCCTTGCCACCGATTATAATAGGTTTAGTTAAGAATAGATATATCAAGTGAATAATTCAACAATTGTTTATTAAAGAAAGTCATGTCTAGGAGATACGATTCAAGAACCACAATCTTTTCTCCTGAAGGGAGATTATATCAAGTTGAATATGCACAAGAAGCTATATCCCAAGCAGGAACTGCGATTGGAATTTTATCGACTGAAGGTGTTGTATTAGCGTGTGAAAAGAAATTTACATCTAAATTGTTAGATAATGATGGATCAGCAGAAAAATTGTACGTGTTGAATGATAATATGATTTGTGCAGTTGCTGGTATGACGGCCGATGCTTCTATATTGGTGAACAACGCCAGAGTAAACGCACAACAATACTTGAAGTTATATAACGAAGATATTCCATGTGAATCATTAATTAGAAAAATATGTGATATTAAGCAAGGTTACACTCAGCATGGTGGTTTGAGACCATTTGGGGTGTCATTTTTATACGCCGGATACGACGATAGATACAACTTCCAATTATTCACTTCTAACCCTTCAGGTAATTATTCTGGATGGAAGGCGACTAGTATTGGTGCCAACAACTCCGCTTCCCAAACATTGTTGAAGAAAGATTATAAAGATGACATGAATTTGAAAGAGGCATGTGAGTTAGCAATTAAGATCTTATCCAAGACCATTGATAACTCGAACTTGAACAGTGATAAATTAGAATTTGCTACCTTAAGCCATTCTTCTAATAAAGAGAAAATAGTCCATAAGATCTGGAGTGCTGAAGACATCGATTCATTGATCAAAGAGTCAGGTGTATTAGATAGAGTAGATGAAGAGTAGTTACAGATTTACATAATAAACAAGCAAAATCATTGATAAGTCATATCCAGAGATTGTAGAAGCTAAGATATACTTAGAAGATGCAAAGATAACCATGCAACTGCTTAAATGCATAAGATTATAGCTAAGGTGTAATCATCTAACTTCCTATAACAGCTTGTTAAGCGATTTTGTGTCATTCCGATATCACATAAATTTAGATAGAGCTTTGCTACTAGTTGAACGGGTATTCTTTTAGATCACGCAACCATGACAGAGATCTTCAAAGCCAACGTGAAGAGTTCGAAGTTAATCGATGAGATAAATTCGACCAACACAATATCGGCCGAATTGTCTCAAGTATTATCTGATTTGAATCAATTTACGAACAACTACTTGACAAACCACTTGCTCCCCACTATCGATGAGTTAACTAATACTTACAAGCAAGATAAGAATTTAAGAATTTTACAGAATTGTTTCCAGCAGCTATGTTACTTTTTAGGGGTTGATAAGAATTGTACTAATTTGTTGATTAATTACAACCAATTGATATCTATCGCAACTCAATTAGAGAAATTATCACCACCCGAGGAAATTGGTATTAAAGATGCAAAGTACACAGAAATTGTCAATTCCTTGAATAATTTGATTAATATTTATTTGGTTTTGATAATTTATTCCAAGAAATCGAACTCCTTGATCTACAACACAATTCATTATAAAAGCCAATTAAATTATTGGAATGATTTGAATAATTCGTCATTGAATAAGTTGATTTACTTTATTCAGATTTCACCAATTAAATTATACGAATTAGGACAGATTATTTTGGCTAATTTTAAAGAGATATTTCAAACGTCAATGGAACAGGATTTGGTCAGCAATGCTAAGCTTTTCATCAACTCAAGTCAAAAGACTATTCTCAAATTGTTGAACAAGGCTCCAACATTCTCGATGTACCAAATGAATACAACTAGATTGAGCCAATTCAATTTCATTTATCAAACTCCCATTAATATTATCAACAGAGAAATACAAAGCAAAATTGATCATTTAAATTCTAAAATCACGCGTAACTGTGAAGCTTTGGGTGAAATGATTAATAGCTTACCTAAAGAAATTCCCGAGAATATTGGGGATGATTTCAAGAATTTATCAATATATGAACACTTGGAAAAATTGGACAATAAGCCATCAGACACGATTAACAGTAGAATATTGAAATTACTTAAAGAAAAGTCTGTCGCAGAGAATACGAAACCTTCAAGATTGGTTCGCTATTGGCCACTAATATTAGCAGTTTTAAGGTACGGACCTTCCAGCTCAATAAATTTATATCAGAACCGTTACGAAATTGCTAAGTGGATAAAATTTAATCTTGTTGATACCGTTATAGGATTTGGAAAAAATTGGGTGATAAAACCTATTAACGATATGCTAAGCATTTTGAGACATGATGACAATTTTAACGAACTAAGCATCATCAGTAAGGACTCGTTACAATCAGATTTAGATTCGTTGGAAAGAATGGTCATCGACTACGTTGTTGATTACGATAAGGTAGACAAAGCAGAAATCACGAAGCAGATCCACGAAGCTATCCAAGAAGGAAACTTGACCATGTTAATGTCAAACTACGAGCAGGATATACGTAATCCGTTCAAGTCTTTGGCCAAGGGATCGTTGGTAAGAGGCCTCTTGATTCAATTACAAAAGACTAAGGTCGATGGAGGCGTTGCCGTAAGTGGAATCGACAAGATGTTGAAGTCACAACAATTGGTGTTCGGAGTGGTAGCCATCAGTCCTTCCATATTAATCCTCTACCAAGCATACCAATTCATGATCAAAAAGTCCGCCAAACCTATCATGATCAACGGCAAGCAATTGAACATCATATGCTTGAAATCATTAAACAGAATTGAAAAACTCATTAGTCACCCTCAAGATAATCTAAAAATGGGTGAGTTATTCATCGAAGTGATCAATTTGCAGCTACACTCCAGCATGATTATTCCATCCCAAATAAAAGCAGAATGGATTCAGGACCTTAACGAGCTCAACAAGGTCAATGTCACCAAGGAGATGAAGTTAGCAATTATCTCCAGAATATGGAACATGTATAGCTATTATTTTAGATAAATGAATACATATGTTGCACCCATCACTCCCCACCTTTTTCCTTTTTCCTTTTTCCTCTTTCTTCGATACATGCATCCTATTCGATGGCCTTTTCCCTGACCACTACAGATCTATATATCTATATACGAGCATTCAATTACTAAGTTAACACTCAGTAACCATAGCAACTCTGTCGATTATTTGTATCTTGCAATGCACTATAAATCCGTATTCTTCCCCCAGCTTTGTCACCGGAAATGTTCTTTACCTCAGCATTTCCCGAAAGAGAATGTCGTGTCATCAGTCAGATATGTCGCATTTATAGTCTGTTCATGGACTACTTGACTTCCCCTCTTCCTCAAGACCATGAGCATTGCGGGGAGTAATCAAGTTTGGCGGATGGGGGATCTTGCCTCGGTGGACACACTAAGATACACAAAGAAGACCCCACCAACCTTGAAAATTAGAGCTATCTGCAGTACGGGACATATATGAATATTTTTAATATAACTCCAGGTATTACCCTTGTTTATAATTCAATTACTATAGGATATCTGTGTCTATAGTATTTAAAATTAAGTTAAAAAACTATTTAAAATTAACATAAACTAGGCAATAGAGGAAAAAATATGGAGAATATGGAGAATTTGGAGGACATACATCAGGGACCCATGAGTTCAAGCACCAATCCAATAGCTAAATATGGAACGAAAACGGCATCAGGAAATGCCCGAATTTTTAACTGTAAGCAATGCAATAGAGCCTTTACAAGAGAAGAACATTTGACAAGACATACGTTACTGACACACAACAAGTTGAAGCCATTTGTGTGTGGAATATGCTCGAGACCTTTTTCTCGAAGAGATTTACTTTTAAGACACGCCAAGAACCTTCATCAGGGGTCCGAATTGGCCGTGAGTAGGATAAGGAAGCTGTATAAGAGAAGTACAAAGGAGGACGACGATTCGGATGATTCCAATGAACATTCTGCCCCCACTAACATAAAAGATTCTACGCCAAAGTCCGAGACTGCGATCAACGAGAATCCGGTAGTACAGTCACTAGAGGGAAATAAAGATTATGAGTCGCCAGAGAAAAAGAAGTTGAAGATGTCGGTTAATATGTTAGTAAGTTAATAATGTATAGATGAGTAGAACTGTTTCTATAGTAAAATGCATGTGTTACGTTAATTTGTATTTTCGGATATATATTCCCTTGGTGTGTGGAGTTTTGCGATGTATAGATGCTGATAGTGTAAGTAAATAAATTTCATGAAGATGATCAAAGTCATTCTTCACTAATGACGGGAACACCAGTATTTCAGTATAAGATACCATATGAAGAGTGGTATTTCATAGTCACGTCCAGCGGATTGCATTTTTATTTTAATAAGTCCAAAAAGAAGTCTTATTGGCAATTGTATGATATTTTCCAAGATAATCCTGGTATCGACCAGAATGAGTTTATCAATTGCATAAACATGGAAGATGTCGCGTTATTGATGAGTAGGGTAAATGGGCTAAAGGGGTTGGATGGATACTTCTTCAAAGGTCCAAAAATTCACAGCAAAGATTTAAAGGCGAAATTGACTGACGTAGAAAGTACAAATGATCAAAAGAATGATGAGGAGGGAACAGAAGAGGCCATAATAGATAAAGAAGACACAAGAGATAGCGACGATGAAGAGGAAGAAGCGATGGAGTACGACAAAGATGAAAAAGATGAGTTCATACGTAATTTGCTTTTAGAAGAAGGCTACATAAAAGAAGAAACAGAGCTGGCAATGGCAGTAGAAAAGGAAGAAAAAGCACCCGATGGGTTAGATTTAGGCTATTCGTCAAGTGAAGAGGACTCCGAAGAAGAAGAAATCCAGGATATAGAGAACGGGCAAGATGACGATGATGAAGAAGAAGCAAATCACAAAGATGATAATAATAAAAATAGAGACGCCAACGAAGACCATAACATAGAGAATGATAACGCCAGTCTCATCGAGGCGAACAATAAGGATGAACACAGAGAAGAAGAAGGTAATGCAGGACAAAACGAAGAAAACCATATTGAACTGACTATTCACAATACAAATGAAAGTGACGACGAAACGCAAAATAATCTAGGCTTAGACTTATCGTTATCTGACGATGAGAGAGATACCACACAAGACTTCTTACAATTACTTGACTGCTACAAAGATAGAATTTCAGTGTACGATCCGTGGTTTTTAGTCGAAGAAGAACTACTTTCTGAATTTATTACAAAACCTGAATATTACTCCATACATGATTCATCTGAAAGAGAGAGTATATTTAATCAATGGTGTAAAGTGCAGCAAGATCAACCTCAAAATGCAACAGCTGAAGTTGAAGTTGAAAAATCTAAGGTATACCCCACTCTAACTCAGATGTATTTCAAATATCTTCAAAATCATAAAAAGGAGCTCAAGAAATATTTCTATTCCCAGTTTAGCACCAAATTTGCGGATGAAATTGACTTGACTTTTTGTGAATTACCATCAAAGGAAAGAGAATCGTTGTATCGTCAATATAAAATAATGATTACTGATTATGCCGACTATGAGAAAAAGATAAAAAAATCTGGCCTGAACGATATCAACTTAAAGAAGTTAAGGCTTGACAATTTCTTAAAAAAGAACTGTAAAACTATATCAAATAATGCAGAATCAGAAGGTATTTTGCAAGTAGAAGACTCAACGGAGGATTCATTCAGCAAATGGGCGAAACTTTGTAATTTGTATAATATACCTACTTCAATCGGTAATAACGTTGAAAATTTCATAGTCGGAGATGAAAAACGATTGCAATCATATATAGAAACGCTAAGTAAGTCATAAGTATTTATTAATAATTAATTCCTGTATCATGATTTTTCGGAAATATACTTAATCGGACTGAAAAATTGAGGTCTTTAAGATATCACAAACCACATTACCATGTCTAGAAGGATTGTTGTAACAGGTCTTGGGCTAGTAACGCCTTTGGGAGTTGGAGTGAGGCCATCATGGGCTAATCTTATTGCAAATAAGAGTGGATTGATTTCAACAACTACATTACCGGACTATGAATCAGCTGGATGGGATAAAATACCATCGAAAGTCATAGGCAAAGTGCCCGAGGGACCAATTTCTGAAGGAAAATGGACCTCAACGGATCATTTTGAAAAGGGAGAGGCTAGGAGATTTGCATTGTTTACTCAGTACGGCCTCGCTGCTACAGAAGAAGCATTGAAGGATGCTAAGTGGCTTCCACAGAGTGAAGAGGAACAAAATTATACTGGGGTAGCTGTCGGAAGTGGCATTGGTTCATTTGACGATGTGTATGCAAATTCTGTCAACTTTTCACAGTCTGGATATAAGAAGGTACAACCATTATTCGTGCCCAAAATATTGACTAATATGGCAGCTGGGAATATATCTATCAAATATGGATTAAAGGGACCTAATCATTCTGTTTCAACAGCATGTGCCACAGGTTTACATTCCATTGGGGATGCATACAATTTCATTAAGAACGACTACGCAAAGGTCATGGTTGCAGGCGGAACTGAAGCCACTATTCACCCATTGGCATTAGCCGGGTTTGCAAGAGCTAAGTCCGTAGTGACAAATTATAATGATGATCCAACAAAAGCATCTAGACCATTTGACAAAGATAGATCTGGATTTGTCTTATCAGAGGGATGTGGGATAATGATTTTGGAAGAACTTGACCATGCTTTGAATAGAGGACTCACAGAGAAAGATATATATGGAGAAATCAAAGGGTATGGTTTATCTGGGGATGCAAATCATATTACCGCTCCACGCGAAGATGGTGATGGAGCTTATAGGGCTATGAACATGGCCTTGAAATTTGCTGGAGTATCACCTGAAGAGGTTGATTACATTAATGCTCATGCTACGTCAACTGTGATAGGTGATAGGTCTGAGAATAACGCAATTGCAGAATTATTTAAAAACAATAATCATTTATCCGTATCATCCACCAAGTCATCGATTGGTCATTTATTGGGAGCTGCAGGAGCTGTAGAGCTGATATTTACAATTAAGTCTATTAAAGAGAATATAATGCCACCATCCTTGAATTTACACAACGTTGGCGGTCATAAGGATGACGACTCATCTATGTTTAATAAGTTTGATTATGTTCCAAATGAAAGCAAAAACAAGGAAGTTAGGTATTCGCTTTGTAATTCCTTTGGGTTTGGTGGCACCAATAGTTCATTATGTTTAAGTAAGTACTAGTAAAATATTGACATGTACAAATATATAAAAACCGTTTCTTAAACTATAGTAAACAATTAAAATATTCGATATTTAGATTTTTTATATTTTCGATATACAATTGCTAAATGAGAAAAGTGAATAAACTATCACCATAAATAATACAATTCTAAACGTTACTAACATTGATTAATGAGCTTATTTTTAGGAAAACCATACTCAGTTTCTTCCCAAGTTGTGAGGTTATTGTTTTGATATGCCTTCGGGTGAGCTTGAATGTAGTCATAGGTTGGGTAGTCATCAGGATCACAGGTTAAATTGATGGCATCTTCCGGTTGATATATTCTAACATAATCAATACGCATAGTTAGTGGAAAATGTATTGCGTTCCAGTCGATATACGCCCAATTGTTTGAAATACCAAAATTCATAATCAAGGACATTGGTTCTTTCGACATCAACCTACGCCCGATGTTTCCATTAGGTCCTAAGGCATACGCATGTACAGTCAATGTTGGATCTTCACCAACATGCCATGTTAAATAACCATCATCGTCATCATTCAAGTACTCATATCCATATGTCTGGAAATTATGTTCATTGTCACCTTCAGAGTACCACGATACGTTCAATGTTGTC